CCTAAACCCCTAAACCTTAAACTCTTGGAACTGCAGAACTCGGCAGCTCAGGCTATGCTGGCTCGACCTATCTCACCCTCACGCTGGGCGTCCTTTTCAGCAGCCTGGTGCTGCATGTCGCTGTATGGCCATACGAGGACGTCTATCTCAACCGGGCCGTTTAGAGGATTTTGGGGTTAAGGGTTTAGGGTTTTCTATATAGGCTTTCACACGGCCGGTGGATTTAAAGAAGGAGTTATGTGAGCACGAGGACAGCTACTTGAATCGCATTGAGGGCAGCGCTCTGGCGGCCAGTGTCATCGCGCTGATGCTAGCCAGCTTGGCGGTGGCCCTCGAGTGGTTCAAGCACGAAGATGCTAGTAGTAGAGTAGATACCCTTGAACCTTTTTGGGTTCTGAGATTAATCTCTACAGCAAAATCCTAAGAATTTTTTGTCGCGCTACGATACTGGACAAGTAAGGATGTAACGATGCGATATTTGATGGCTTTGTGCATCGTGCTGGTTTTCAGCACGGTGGTCCTGGTCGTGCTACTGATAAGGTCTCTTCTTGAGCAGGTGCAAAACAGAATACGTCGGAGGGATATATCTGTGGAGATGCAAAGCTGCGCTTCCACGACATGACTCATCCCGTCACTGGGACTGAAAGCAGTCGTCGTCGCCGTCATGCGGAGCAAGCTAGGCAGAAGTTCGTCACTATCCTTTGCATGTGGCACCTCAGACTGGACCAAGTGGCAGTTCGTCGCAGTTTTCGTCTGCATCATGAGATAGACGTCGAGGTCAAGCCCAACTTCCACCATTACGATCTGGATGTGATCGCAGCTGGCACATGCTGGAACCTCTGCACAAGCGCAGGATTTAAGTGCAGGTCCGAAAACATGAGCTGAAACACGACGATCCTGGGCAATGAACTTCTTTTAGAACGGCATTTCGAAAGTTGAACGGTCTTGCGATAGAACAAGTCAGGTGAGGGCTTTCGAATGTGTAACTGATATAGGCTGATAATATAGGCCCATACCATGCAATTCTTAGGACCTGTGCATTCCATTTGTTGGCTTTTTCGTCGGCGTCTTCCATAGACTCAATGGACAGATCCTAAACCCGAAACCCTGCCTAAACTCTAAACGCCAAACCCTAAACCCTATACGGCCCCTTACATTAAAGGAGCCCTGTCCCGAACCCTGAACTCTAAACCCTAATCCCTAAACCCCAAACTCAAAGCCCTAAGCCTAAACCCCGCAAACTGCGATGCAATTGCCCTTTGGCCTGAAGCTACAGCCAGGGGTCTCGCATTAGAATTAAGTTTATAGAAAAGTTAGGGTTTAGGGCTTCGAGTTTGGGGTTTTAGGGTGTAGGGTTTCGGGTTCAACTCAGTTACGAGGTTTTGGAGTCTCTGGGCAGTTCAATATCTTGGTTTGTGGTTTTGTATTCAGGGTCACCCCAAAACCCTTAAGGTCTAAAACCTTAACGCCCGAACCGGAACCGCAACAGGCAAAACTATTCATCGACTTCTTATTGTTTGTAGCCATTCCGTAAGATACCCCCAAACCCTCTTGACCCTGTTCGAAATATTAAGCCCTATATTCCAAAAGCCCTATAAGTTCTGTTAAACCACACATCTTAGTGGATTAACCCCAACCCTAAACCCCAAACCCTAAACCCTGAACCCTAAGACCCTAAACCCCAAACCCTTAAGCCTAAAACCCTAAGCCCTAAAACCCTAATCCCGTAAACCCCGCAGTCCTTAAACCCTTCGGAGCCCCTGGCAGGAAGCTTTTCTGGAGCTTCCTGAGGGTCTAGGCCTAGACCTAGAGTTGAGGGGGCTTCGGGTCTAGGGCTTAGGCCACTAAAGGGTTTAGGGCTTAGAGGGTTTAGGGTTTAGGGCTTAGAGGAATTAGAATCTAGGGTTTTGACCTATCCTAGCCTGCCCAAACCTCCTTTTTGTAGGGTCCCTATAACTCTGGTCCTGTGAGTTTCATATAGGGTTTCGAATATGAACCTATAGAAAAGGCGGCTATGGTAGCCTCAGGCAGAGTTTAGGGTTCGTAGGATTTTCGGGTTCAGGAAAGGGGCCTTTATTATGTACATAGGGCTTGGGGTGTAGTTAAACTGTAGAGGGTGATGAACATATAGGGTTCGTAGGCTTTTTGTTATTTTAGGGTTGGTAGTGTTTGTGAGGGTTCTAGGACCTTGATTACTGGTTTAGGGTTTGTGAAGGCATAGGACTTTTGTTGTTTCAGGGTTGTTTGAGTTTTAGGGTTTAGGCGTTCCGGGCTTAGCCTGAACAGGTGAGCGGCTGCCAGCCCGCCGCTGCAGAGAACCAGCCGGATGTCATCTCTTTTGAACAGGCGCGCGGTTTCCTAGTTCCCCAATACCCAACCTTTAAACTTCGTGGGTTCTTATAACTTAGTAGTACTGTGAAAGTTTAACCTGGTATTTCCTGGCTTAATGGGGAAGTAAGGTTTAGGATTTTTGATTTGGTTTGGACTGTGTGGTAGTTACAGAAAAAGACCGGGGGACTCAGTATATATCCTTATCCGTTTGCGGGGAGT